ATTGGGTGAGACACTTAAAATGATTCTGGAACAATTCATTTTTAAATCCACTGTATATCGAAAACGGTAACAGCAAAGTATACTAAACTATATATTTTTGAAATTAGCTAAAATATGTCTACCGGACCATGCTAATATATGTGGGGGTTTCCATTTAAAAAAAAACAAGATGGCGTCGTATCTGTCAAAATTGACGTTGTAAAAAATTTTAATGTAGAAAATCGGCATCCTCGCAAAAAATTACATTACAATATCTTTTTACTATCTTAAAATAGGAAGGAGGAAAATTTTAAATTGGGTGAGACACTTAAAATGATTCTGGAACAATTCATTTTTAAATCCACTGTATATCGAAAACGGTAAGTGCAAAGTATACAAAACTATATATTTTTGAAATTAGCTAAAATATGTCTACTGACCATGCTAAAATATGTGTGGGTTTCCATTTAAAAAAAAATCAAGATGGCGTCGTATCTGTCAAAATTGACGTTTTAAAAAATTTTGGTGTAGACAATCGGTATCCTCGCGAAAAATTACATTAGGAAATCTTTCTATTATCTTTAAATACCAAACAGGAAAATTATAAATCGAGTGAGACACTTAAAATGATGTCCCTGTACATCTGTTAATCCAACATAAGGCATTTTTTTTTTTTTGGATCGAAAGAAAATTACCGGACAATCGTGATTTTACTACTGAACAGAAAATTCAAAAGAAAATAAATCGCCGCAGTCGTTTATTCTTTATTATCATGTTTATTTACAACAAAAATCCTTATCTTAAAGTTGTGTACCAATTTTTATCCTTGCAAGAAATTTAGTCAGAAATAAAGATTGATTCCATATAAGTTTGGTTGTGTGTATATCCGATATTTGATATTTATATAAATATCATGATATTTGGCAACCCTGGAACTGACATGACTTACACATCGTTTCGGTCAGATGTATCACCATCTTTATCAGTTGATAATGCCTACATACCATATTAATTATTCATTCATTTACACCTTGTATGCATTTATTTCTTGTTTATTCTATTATAATAACTTCTTTAATTCAATTTAATGACTAGATGAAGTAGAGATTAACCGAGCGAAAGTCCAGTACATGCTTTTTTGTTCAGATTTTATTTGTTATGGTTATTAACATAATAATATTAGGTAATAACTATTAATTTAGGTAAAGATTTACTGAATATATTCTAATTAGCTCTTATTTCTAAAGTTATTTATTATTATTCTTTATTAGTTACTTATTCTTTTAATATTAACTATGTATGTATTGGTAATTTATTGATCACACGACACTCCCTAAGATTGGTAAAAAAAATATCTATATTTATATCAAAATCCATGCTTTTAGTTGTTATGTATTGATTTATCATTTTTAATCAAATATACTTAGTAAATAAGGGCTTAAATTTATTGACAGCATGGTAGATATCAATTCTGAATGAAATTTTTGGCAATAGATAAAATTTCATTTCGGTTTTAACCAGCGTAACGCGTGTAGTCATCAGTTTATTTTTATTTTTAAAAAGCTTCATTAAAAATAGATCCAAATATTTTTCTTTAATTTCAATCATTTATTTTTTTATGTGGTAGGTATCATGTACATCAGTTAACACGATACATTTAATTTGTTGTAGTTATCATTTTTAATTTCTAATATTCTTATAATAGTCATATTTCTAGTAAATTTCACGATGTGTAACGGTTTAGACATTTTTTTTTATCGCTAGACGTCAAATTGTTCAGCTTATTATTTTTCTTTTCTGGCTAAACAATACAGGTTACAGAAATAATCATCGTTTGTTTTTTTTTATTATGTAACTGTCTCAAAATGAGGAAGTAAAGGTTCGTTTAAGTATCATGCGTTTTACGTAAAGTCGCGACGGTTTTAGTAAATAGGAATTACTTAATTATTTTTGAAACCTGATATTTTATATCATGCCGGGAGACAATTTTTTTTTCAAAAACGCGCTATTTGATTGTTTTTTAGCACGTTTTTATTAGCTTCATCTGTATGTTTAGTCGGTCCAACGAGTCGGGAAAGGTTTCGACAGAACCCATTCAAAAAATGACAGAAAATACTATTTGTCTATGAATTAAAATGGCATACACAACTGTCGCTGTTAGGGTTTTTCCCGTTGAACAGACTACCGGGTGTATTTAAAAAGTGGCTCACCCCTATAACTTTTTATTTTATTTTTTTCAGATAAAAACTAGACTTGGTATATGAGCATATTAGTATATGAGATAAATGAGGATTGATGAATTAGATTTGTTCACTTCCTGTTTCGCCGGAAATGACTACAACTTTTGATTTTTAAATTGTACCGTTGGTATTTTTTCTTTATTTGATAGAAAAGGACATTCTGAATATGGGATATAATATCCTTCGACATTTTACTTAAAAAATAGTATTTTAAGTTTCAATCTAGAGTGCTGTAGAATGTAGAATGTTTAGGAGGGGAGTTAATCACCGCGACCTTACAGATTTATTGTGTGTCCCCTTATAACGAGTTATAACTCATCATACAGTCTTAGGGCTTTAACATAAGCCAGTATCTGAGACGGCTCCACTGAGGCCAGCTCTCCATCCTCGACATCAGCCGTACCAAAGTTCATGGTACGAATGGTCGTCGTCTCGGCGCACTCAGTGATAAAATGTTCTGGTGTTTCCCCATTTCCCCATTTTCCCCCACAGAATCTGCATTCGCCGTTGTTTTTCAGCTTCAGTCTACTGAGGTGTTCGTTGAGGAGACAGTGTCCTGTTAGAAACCCCGTGACAATCCGAAGATTTTTACTTTTTTTTACTTAAATCAAGGAAAACCTTTGATTTTTCTCGGTCGTAAGTTCTGAGGAACTTTTTCGATTGTCTTAGACCTTTGGAGGACACCCATTCCAAGTTACGGATGGAGTCTTCCAGATTCTTCAGTTCCGCTTTCAGTTAGTTCCTGTTTGGAAAACAGAACGTTTCTGGTCCATTTAGTGGAATGTGCGCTCCTTTTCTAGGTAGATCATTTGCTTTTTTATTGCCTTCTATCCCTTGGTGAGCAGGCGCCTAGAGTAGGAGGACTTTATTTTCGTTGCCTAATTTGTTGAGCTTCTCTAGGAATTCTTTGACCAACTTGATGGTTACCGAGTTGATAGCGTTTAGTGCTGCTTGACTATCGGATAGGATGGCAATTTCCTGTTTTCGATAGTTCCTTTGAATAAGAAGACTAAGGAAGGAGCATATCAAAAATCTTAGGTCCACCGCGATGGGACTCAAATATGGCCGACTTAAATTCCGGTTTATCAGTGCCGTTCTAATTTTATTTAAAAAATGTAAAACTATGATGTAGGGTAGACGTGGGGTAGACTCAATATTTTTTTTTATTTTACGTTGTGAATAAATGTTGGTAGTTATTAAAATTGTTATAAAAATATAAAATTCTAATGAAAATAGTTAAGTTATAATAATTATTTATAACCATAAACATCCGATACGCTACTGAAGCAGGTAAGTCAAATTGACGTATCCAAATTCTTTGACATCTAATCTTTGACAAGTAGTAAATAAAAGCAAAAATGCAAGAAAAAATATATAATTAGTTAATTTAAGTGAATTTCATAAATTATCGGTTTACTACACGTATGTATATTATATAGTCACTTACTAGCGAAAAGTTGTTCCATTATTTCACACATTTTTGCCGAGATCTACCGCACGCTACACAACCAACTATTTTAGAGTCTTTCGATAAATCGCGATAGTGTCACCGTTAATTTAAGTTCTGCCACAATTTCCATCTAGATTTACTACCTTTATACAACTATCAGTAGTAGAATAAATAATAAATAACATAAAATAAGCTCCGTAAAGACTGACAAATCCACAAAATTTCAAATCAAATACAAATGTGTCAAATGAATCGTCAAACAGAACTGTCAAGGATTCCCACAGAGTCCTTTTTCCGCCCACCATGCATGAATACATGGATAGCATTATGCTCCTTCCTTAGTCTTCTTATTCAATGGATAGTTCCTATCTAAGATAAATTGTACGCATCTTTCGATAGCGTAAATTTCTGCCTGAAGGATACTGGGGTAGGTACCCATTGGTTCGGAGTATTTAGTTTTCGGCCCAAATACTCCTATCCCTGTGCCTGCTTTGGTTTTGGAAGCATCAGTATACCACGTTATGGTATGGTCTTTTACATGTTGTGTTAGAATGCTGTAACGACAGTTCGACTCGTTCGACTATGTGGTACCAAATTATTCGTAAAAATGCTTTACAAATATGCTAATGAGTAGAGTTTCCAAACCGGGATCCAACGAAGATATTTTATTTATACTAAACGTGAATATCTAAGTTATATTTCCGTGTTTGCTATTTTTTTTGCAACAATAATTGGATAACCCCGGAATTTCAAAACGGGATCCCGAAATGTTAAAAAGACACTAATGCCCACTTGCACCGTTTGTATAAACTTTGTTTAAAGGCTAAACAATGATTAACTATACATATTTTATTATAGTTAATCACTGTTTAGCCTTTAAACAAAGTTTATACAAACGGTGCAAGTGGGCATAAAACATTAATAAACAGCCATGGCACTATAGATTGAAATGAAAAATGCTGTTCTTTTAATTGAAAATGTCAAAATTTGACATATTATGGTGCTATATATTATATTAATTTGACATATTATTATGTAATTTTATTTAATATGTTATTTTCTATCTAATAAAGCAAGAAAAATACTGCTGAAACAGGAAGCGACCGAAAATAATTGAATCAGACTTCATTTATGTCCTATACTAACATACCAAAGTTATTTTTTTTTGTCTAAAAAATGATAAAAATTTGATGGGTGAGCCACACATATCGGGTGAAAAACACCGGTAACATCTATGTAAAGAAATCCTTACACGTAAAGACTAACCTGAATAAATAGGTAAATATTTATATTTTGTATTTTTTTTAATGTGTTTGTTTCTTTTGTTTCAGTACTTTTATCTATCTGCTCATTGCTGTGCGACCCGAACCCAGACGATCCACTAGTTCCCGAAATCGCTAGGATATACAAAACAGACCGTGAAAAGTACAATGAACTAGCGCGCGAATGGACCCGCAAGTATGCTATGTGATGGCCCGGCCCCCAACATCCGCACTTCACCTAATTAGATGAAACAGAAAAAAACAAAAAGCAAATCTTATTTAATTTAACAAACACATTATCATCAAAACAGCAGCATCGTCGACATCAGGGGGGATGGTTCAGTTTCCGTAGCTCGACAGCAAACCTTGTACATTTTTCGCTTTTTTGCTGTTCCTCCCACCTTCGACCACAATATATTTATACATACACACAACTACTATATCTCGCCTACATTTTAAAACAAGACAACTTTGTAACGTGCGAACTTTTCTATTAGCCGGTTCGAAGCGTATATTGTGGCCGCAAGGGGCACCTGTTGGGTTTTTGTTCCTGGTTCCGCTACGAGTAGATGGGACGGTTCTACTAGGGACGATCGTGCCAAGCACAGCCTCCGTCCAGAATCTCCCTCCTATCTACTTTCCGCAGCAGGTTGCACCACGTCCCGGGTCCCGGATTCCTCCCCAACCGTTGATTATATCCTTAAAGTAATGTTAGTTAAATTGATACTGTAGATTCTTGTGGTTTAACTAGGTGTATAAAAATAAACTTATTTTTTTTCTAGAGACTTTTTTAAACTTTACAGTCGGCAGAAATGTATGCAAGGTGAAACTTGTAATAAATTCAGTAAATCAAAGATTTTTTTTAAGGAGGTATACACGAACACGTCGATTATTTTAAAATACTCTCTTTTTGATGTATTAATGTTTAAACACCATTTAAGCAAAACTCGCTTCGAGCATTTCTGATTATTTTGCCAAAATGTAACCCACACGTCTTATTCGTTTTTTAAACTACACAATGTTTCTCACAAAATTATTTTAAAAAACTAATCGAGGTATCTGAACATATGTCCATTAAAAATATGTCTTTGGTTTACTTAATTTATTCCAAGTTAGAATCGCCCTGTATACGCGGTTGAGTTTTACCCTAATCTTTGCGACGAGCTAGGACAGTTTATTTCTAGAACACTTTTTTTACATTTCATCTGTCTGGTCAATATTAAGTCGTAGAGATTAATGTAAAATTTGACCTGTGATCTGAAATAGTTGTAATTTTAGGTAGCATTTATAGGTTCAGCATTAATATAATTACTGCATAATATTTACTTTTTACTGCAATTGGCGCAGGTCTACATCGTATTTATGTGTAATATCTGATTAAGAATGATCTACATTTATATTATAGCAAGGCGATCATTAAGCTTATTGAGATGGCAACAAAATCGAATTTTGGTTTTAACAATACTCGTAGTTGATGGTAATTTACGTATTTTTTTCAATATTTACAGTACTCTATTTTTAATGCTATGTCAAATATTAAATATCAAAAACCAAAGATTATTAGTGAATACAGAAAAGCAATCAATATTTGTAGTTAAATTGAAAAACAGATTAGTGTCATCTCAAGGCAGTTGTTTTAATATGTAAAAGTAAAAATGTCAGTTATATACGGAATAAAGGTTATGTTGGGAAGTTAACAAGCGAAGAGTTATGATTTCCTGCCCTCTAGTGGCTTGGATGCAAATATTCTAGTTGTCAGCAAGTGCAGTAAAAGCAAGGTTTAAATCAAAATGCGATTTCAAAGCCATTTTTTGTGATCTTACGGTACATAGAAACAAAGGAATCAAAATGACAATTAATTATGTTTTATCATCTTCTCTTTATTTTTATCAACTTATTTTTCTCTAGGATTTTTTTTTAATAAAAGGCAAATGCAAATTATATCTTAAAATTAAAGCTAGACTTGTCTTATTTTGAGTGATGGACATTGTAAAATGATTTTAAATTTATGTTTTCAATATCATACTAAACTTTAGTTCTAAGGTGATATTGAGTTTTTACACTAAAAATAATAAAGTGATAGAAAATTTGGAAGTTTTTGTTTCATTTTTGGGTATATTAAGAGCTGTTATTTTTCAAAATAAGACAAAATGAGAGATCTTTGTGTATTATATCAACATGTAATCTTTTTTATACTAACGTAAACGCATAGAAAAATTACTGTCCTAGTTATTTAGTTTAAATAAACGATTATTATTGTTTCGCTTCTACCAATCAGTTCGATGCTTTCCGGGACCTCGAGAGCACCCAGGTTGCCACGTCCTCCCTTTTCTCTTAATTTATTCTAATTTTGTTTTGCCTCGTACATGCTGTGGAAAAAACTGTAAAATATTTAAAGTAATTTTTTAGGATATTTATATTTTCCGTCTTGGAGAATTTTATTAAATTATGTTTAAACCCAATTGTCCAGTTGTTTTTCTTTTTAGTGTGATGTGATAGTGACGTTAACGAGTGGTGAAGACTTGTTTTAATTTTTATTAACTAAGACAATATAATTCATACTGATAAAATAATGTTTGTTTTATTGTTTTTAAGTATCTTAGTTTTCGAGATCATATTTATTTTATTGTTCACAGTACTTTGAATTAGAAAAAATGTATAATCTTAACTACATTGTTAATCATAAAAATATTTGCTGAGTCTATTCGTAAATTCCAGTATGAATATATAATTGATATGAAGGAGAATTTTTGAATCTATGCTTTTAACTGTTTTGTTTCTGAGCACAGATATATTATTTTCTTACAAACCGCCCTGTATAGTAATTAAACGAAGGTTTTTTTATACGTATATTGAAATCTTTTTTGATGATAAGATGAAAAAGTTACTGATAAGGTATGTTGACAGCTAAACAGATATGAGTAAATTTAGATATAAAAAAGATACAACTCTGCTAATTTCAAAAATAATTTATATACCATAATATTATGATGAGTGTGTTATTTTTAGAAATAGGTGCATATTATTCGTGAAATATACCGTATGCTCGAAACAAAACGGCGTCCAGTTGGCTTGGAAATGAACATCAATGACAGTCCCCATCCCCATATAATTTTACATACAAAGTGACGGCGATCTTCATTTCATAGCCATGTCAACGCCGTTTTTTTTTCGATCATATTGTATTTATTATTTACCTTGTCTGTAGGCCTTTATGTTTAGTATTTTAGCGATTCTCAGGATTTAATAAACATTGAGAATGATCTTCAGTTTATTTCTAGTAATTTTTAAAGATTCAGAAGACATGCGAAGTTAATAAATGCGAATGAATATTTTTATTTTATCTATATAACAGATTATTTGACTGAAAAATAAGTACCATGTACAATCATATAAATAATTTATTTGTATGGACACGCTATATAGAAATAAACACTGAAAATGTATTTGTAAAATGAACTAGAAATCCTATCTTACACGCATCGGGTATAATATAGAAATTTAAAGCACTAAATCAGCCTAAAAAAGTAAAAATTGTATGTACTAGTCGAAAAATTATTAAATTAAAAAAATACTGCTTACAAAAACACTTATATTTAGCAGATTGCTAAGTTATCAAATAAATGGTAAACATCCGATTCTGTTTTTAATAATTAGATCAACTAATCAAACGAGTAACAAACATGATTATGTTATCAGTTAATGACAAAATGGTGAAGGAGCCTAAAAAGGATTTTAACAAAATTGATTTTTTCATATAAAGTTATTTTTCTAGCAGGAAATAAAGTAAAAACATATTTTATAGAAATAAAAAACTTGAAATTCGGCCTCTTATGTAATGTGATGGAATTTTAAACAATGGCTATTTGATTTATTTTTATCATTTTACCATATTATGTCTATTTATTATGTATAGTGCGTATTTTTTATACGTTTATGATTAGGAAAGTGAATGTCAATATACATTATTTCTAAGGATTCTTGATGTCATTTATATATCTAGCATCTTCTTAGAGTCGTGCCATGCTCTATTACAGAGCGTCGGCTACCTCTTGCATGTTCTTTGTGGCGTGGCATGGCGTTGCATGTACTTTGTAACGTCGTATACAGTGTTTCACAAGTACACGGGACCTACAGTCTATACAGTTTATCGCCGAATCCGAACTGCACTTTTTGAGAGGCTGTACAAAACAAATATACTCAAGGTGGTTTGCCATTGCCTTCCTTGAGGTGGCATATGGCGGCTCGCTGGTCGCTCCAAATCAAAAGTTGTAGTAATTTCCAGTAAAACAGAAAATCACCAAAAACAATAGAAACGCCAGTTAATCCTAAATTATGTCATATATTAACATACCAAATTTCGTTTTTTTATCTGAAAAAATAAAAAAGTTATAGGGGGTGAGCCACTTTCGAGACGCACCCAGTATTACACTATTTTATTAAGTATTATCAAATTAAATACCTAAGATTATATTTTTATGGGGTAGATATTTGTAAATTATTATAGTACATAAAAGAAAATAAAATTTTCACTGAATGGCTCCCAAAATTCCACAAATAAATAGCAACCGACTCCGGTCTCTCCTATAAACAAATAATGTCTCCATATACTTTTGACCTCTAAAGTAAACATACTAACGATTTCTTTATATGCTTATACCATGAACATCGAAAACTTAAAGATGATTGTTCCTACGTCCAAGTCCAAGTGAAGGTGGAGTGGAATATAACACCTAACGCAATTTTCCCAATTGTACAGCTTGTTATTGTCAGTGTTGCGTTAATTTTTTCCTCTCTTGCCTGCTGTTAGTACTGTTTGGTACCATTCAGTTGTGCATGGTGCGCCATCGAGCAGCCACCGTTATCGTCTGCCCGTTGGTTTGGCCTCCTTTCTCGACAACTCTTCAAAATCTCGACGCTTTCAGAAGAAAGTATTGATTTTGGTTGCAGCAGATCGAACAAAATATCGATTTGTTTGATTTAATTTGCATGGGATTATTTATATTATTGCAGGTAAGTACGAACTATACTTGTTGCGTTCTTATTTTTCTTTTATTTGATTTATTAATCAACTGAACGATTTGTTATATAAAATAAAGTTTGATGGTATATTATTAAAATATTATAGGTAGAATCGTCAAAAAAAGATATATAGAATATTAGGTCTACTTACTAGAATACAAAAAAGGGTATGACATGCGGACCTACAAAAATCCTTGTTTGAAAAAAATATTCGGTATGTACCTCAAGTTTAATCCAAATTAACACGAAGATGTTTCTAAATTTTGTATATTGACAAAGATATTGACCCCAATTTTTATTGAAATTGATATTAAACTTTGGCAGATTTGCAATTTTGGTTCACTATATAAAATAGATGTGAGTTTAGAATATTTGAAATAATTTAGAAACAGGTGCTATGAGAGAAGTTAGAGACGTTTTGTTTATTGTTATGCTAAATTCTATTTAAGTTTTCTCCAATCTGTGCTTTTAGAAAAAATTAGATTCACCAAGTCAATTAATTACTTAATAACTGAATTTTTGATGAAAAAAATATTTTTAAAGTATAGATAATTTTCAAAATAACATTCATATCATTCATTCAAGTTAAAAATTGAGATAATGTACCGGTATCTCAATTTTTAACTTATATTGATTTTACTTTTATTGTACTATTTATGAATTTGTCTAATCATTTATTTATAACTCAAAAGTAGCTCACCCTATAACTTTCTTTATTTTTTCAGTTAAAAAAACGAGATTTGGTATGTTAGTATATGACTTAAATTAGGATTGATTGACGTATTCCATTTTTTTTCGGTCGCTTCCTGTTTCACCGGAAATTACTACAATTTTTGATTTTTAAATGCCACCCTCGGTATTTTTTTAATTTACTCTATAGAAAATAAGATTTTGAATAGAATGACATATCGTATGTGAACTTTTGACATTTTGGCATATGGTTTATTTGACATTATAATTTGCGGTTCGTAACGATAATTTGACTCGAAATACCAAGTGTGTGGTATCAAATTATTCGTAAAAAATGCTTTTTCCAAATATACTAATTAGCCACTCTCGTTCCATTTGAGAAAATTGAGATATGATTAAAAATACGATTTGAGCATTTTCTAACTGGCCAGGACAAGACATTAACAACATTCAACAGACGATCAAATCTATTATTCCAAGGCTCCTTGATTAAGAATTATTAGTGTTTTTAACATAGCCATGGCGCTCTAGATTCAATTTTAAAATATGATTTTTTATTAAGCGAAAATGTCAAAAATTGATATATGTTATGTCATTCTATTCAGAATGTCATTTTCTATCGAATAAAGTAAAAAATACCGGGGGTGCCATTTAGAAATCAAAAGTTGTAGTTATTTCCGGTGAAACAGGAAGTGACCAAAAACAATTGAATACGTCAATCAATAATCTTAATTTATGTTTTATACTAAACATACCCAATCTCGTTTTTTATCTAAAAATTATAAAAAAGTTATAGAGGTGAGCCACTTTTGAGACGCACCCGGTATAATTTAAATTTACATTTAAAAATATACCTAATATTTTTGATGTATCAACTATTATAAGTATATAGGTACTTTATAGTTTATTTTTTAGTTTTTTACAGATTTCTCAATTTTAAGTTTATTGTTTTGTATTTGTGATATATTATTATTTTTAATATTATTCAAGATAATATAATTGTTTTAGTGTTATCAATTATTTTAAAAGTTGATATCCGTAACGATGTATTGTTTTGTAAAATGTGTGAAATATTTTAAGTACAAAGTACGATGTATTTTATTAGGTATACCGGGTGCGTCTCAAAAGTTGCTCACCCCTATAACCCTTTTATTTTTTCAGTTAAAAAAACGAAATTTGGTATGTTAATATACATATAACGTAAATTAGGATTGATTGACTTACTCAATAATAATTGTTTTCGATCACTTTCGGTTTCACTGGAAATGACTACAACTTTTGATTTTTAAATGAAACCCTCGGTTTTTTTTTTCTTTATTCGATAGAAAATGACACTCTGAATAGAATGACATATCATATGTCAACTTTTGACATTTTCGCATATGGTTTATTTGAAATTGTAACATGCGGTTCATAACGGCAATTTGACTCGAAATACCAAGTGTGTGATATCAAATTATTCGTAAGGAAATGCTTTTTACAAATATGCTAACGAACCACCCTCGTTCTATTTGAAAAAATTGAGATATTATTAAAAATATGATTGAGCATTTTTTTAGCCTGCCAGGACAAGACACGAAAAACATTAGATGGTTAAATCTATTTTTCCAAGGCGCCTTCATTAAAAATTAGTGTTTTTAACACAGCCATGGCACCTTAGATGTCAAAAGTTGACATATGATATGTCATTCTATTCAGAGTGTCATTTTGTTTGAATAAAGTTGAAATATAGGAAGGGTGCCATATAAAAATCAAAAGTTTTGTAGTCATTTCCGGTGAAACATGAAGTGACCAAAAACAACTGAATACATCAATCAATCCTAATTAATTTCGTATACAACCAAATATATTATATATTGTTATATAATATATTTCAAACATACCAAATTTCGTTTTTTTATCTGAAAAAATAAAATAGTTATAGGGCCACTTTTGAGACGCACCCGGTATTGGAACTTGCATATTTAATTGTTGAAACAAAAATGTTATTTTGAGCACTATTGGTTGTTCCTTTTTTGTGCTTGTCAATATTACTGCAGCTTTGTTCGAAATGATTACCGCCACAAAATGCTAGTACCGCTACCGAAACTATATTTGCTATATTGCAAGTACTTAACGTAAACTTCTATTATACAAAAATAGTATAAAAGAAAACCATTTCCTACGGCACATTTATGAAATATGTTTAAAGAAAGTTTTAATGCATATATGTACTTACGTCTACCGATCTTACATGCTTCTGTATAATTCGAAACGATGAGGAGTTTGCGCAAACAGTGTCTGCAATTATACTTATGCAAAAGGCTAAGCGTAGATTTACACTCAGTATTCCATTTTTTAAATAATACGATGGTATACATATACAAGCTAGTTATGGTGATTATATAATGATCTAGTTTTAAAATTAATAGGCACGCGACTTACCGTTAGTTTAAATGCGGAAGAAGAAACAGTAATTTTAAACCAACATATGGTGTAGAGTTTGTCCAGCGAAAGAATAGGATATGATATTAGTGACATAATAATTATATCTGTATCTCTCTCATTTAAACGTAGGATATTTTTTTGTCTTTTTGGTTGTCCTCTGTTGATTTCGTATATCGTATTAATTCATCACATCGGAACATGGGACATAGGAAATCCTATGTAAGTTTTTCAAATCAAAAATAAAAAAGTTTTCAAACCCTAGATAATTTTATGCAAAAGTTGTATTAGATTTTTTAAGAGGTGTTAAAGATTTACTTTTGTCGTTTCATTTGGAATAGTCATTTAATAGTTATAGTCTGTCCAACGAGAAGATCCTTGACAGTGATAGATGTGTCTGTCATTTTAATTTCAAAGTAGTTTATTTTATTTTACAAAGAAATAAGTTGGTACAACTGGAACGCAGAGCAGGAAATTAATATATGTATTTAAAATTTGACCGACAAGTAACTTCAAAATATTGTGAAAAAGAAACTGTATAAAACTGAAAAAATGTAATCGAGTTATTTTATTTAATAAAAAACGGTATGTGTTAATACAAAACAAACAAAAACAAGACACCACATACCAAAAAATATAAAAAAGAACTATTTCTTACTTTCAAGCTTTATTAAACTTCCCGCATTTATGATTATATTTATCAATATAACTTATGTACAAATACAAATTTGTAATATTCCGCAGGAATAAATAAAACAACATAAATAAAACAAACTATTTTATTAATAATAACACTTACCAAATTTTATACCTCACAGGTTGATTAATTAACTTTAATCTTAATTTTTTTTAAACCAGTACCTTTACAGCTACTCCAGTTTTTAGTATGGGTTTAGTATGGTCCTTCTACCATATTCGAGATGCACTTATCTACGACGAGATGGTATACGAACTTTATTGATAGTAACTTTATTGGTGTATCTGTATAAGACTTTCTGCCTTGGCAGCGATTATTAACCATAAACTGTGCTCTGTTTTCTACAGTTAATTTTCACTGATTTTTCCTCCACTTGACTTCAAAGGACACAAACACACGTAATAACACGAATCAAATGCATCATCCACCAAAACGCAGGGTATTTGACAAAAGTTGTCACAAAATTATAACCTATAATTTGGCAAGACTTTGACAAACATCAAAAATCTAAAGGCGAGTTCATACGCATCGGCGTCCATTTGTCGTTCATCGTTCCGTCAAACCAATAAAATTGAAATACGATCTGTCATTTTTGAAATAAACCAATAAAACTGGTTAAAAACAACAAGTGACGACGCATGACGAATTTATATTTATTGGATCCATAGTTAACTTAAAAATTATTAGAAACTTTTTTTAGTAAAATAAATAGATTGGTATGGGACGTCATCTGCTTTTCTTCTCTCATCGTCTGTCGAAATCTTACCTGAGAAAAAAAACAGAGTATATTTGCAAAAATCTACCTTCAAATTAGTAAAATTTATAATATGGCCCAGAGAGACTACAATTAAAATACCAGCAAAAATGTGATTCTGTCATTGTCAAATTCGATGTCACATTTTGTTTACAAAAATTTGAAGGTACTAAACAGAGTAATTTTGTATAAAATAATTAAGATGTTTGCAACTTCTAAAAAAGGTGCGATAGTTAAACGGCATTTTGCTGGAAATAGTATTTCCGCTATGTTAGATATGTTTCACAGCTCAGTCTCCGGAAATCAGGAAAGCCTGTAGTACCGAATAAGTCAACAGTTTAAAGAATAAACCAGAGATTCGAAACTAAAGGCATGGTATTAAGCACATGGAAGTGTGAAAAAACGACAATAATTTGAATATTCTTCATGTTGAAGAAAAGAAAAACGTTGACTCTCGTCTATTGGGGAAGCAATAGGAAAAGACCACGGGGATTTCTATCTATGGACCACACTCAAAAACCGTCTTTATTGACATATTAAATACAGAAATTTGGATGAACTGAAAATGACATCTTTGTAGAATGCTAAACAGTCTCCCCTTAACAGCTTGGTATTGTGAGACGTGAATTTTACTATCATTTGGGGTATTGTTTGGCTGTGAATGGGGGATTAAGTAAACATTTTATTAATTTGTAGGTATAGTTTAATAAAGTTCCTTTAGTTACAAATATTAATTTTATTTGTTAAATTATTGCGGATGTATGTGGTATGAACGAGTGATCGAGTAATGAACAGCAAAAAACTCATACACCGCGAATACTAATCTCAGTTCAACAATTCTTTTGTAGATGATCATTCCAATTCAGAAAACAATTAACCACCCTTTCCTCGTGAATTCTTGTAAACAAAAAAAATGTGACATCGAATTTGACAATGACAGAATCATGTTTTTGCTGGTATGTTAATTATAGCTTTCTCTGGACCGTATTATACATTTTTAGTAATTTGAAGGTAGATTTTTGCAAATATCTTCTAGATGCCTATTCCACATAATAATACGAAATTCTAGACAAAAGTACATCTTTAACGTCTTTTCAAAAAAGTCTAATACAATTTTTGCATAAAATCATCTGGAGAGATAATATTTCAATTTTTTTTTTCAAAATTGACATGAGATTTCTTATGTCCCGTGTTCCGATGCATCACACGGTATTTTTTTTTGCTGTAAAATTAGAACGAATTAGAAAGGCAAATATTTTGAATCCAAAAGTACTTGCAGTACTTACTACCTCATTGGTCCTCATGTATTTTCTCCACCGGAATACAATATGCCAGACTTCACCTAGAATGGACTTTTTATTGACGACCAGTGATGGACAGACACTCGGTATATTGAAATTTGGTTAAATACCCAAGGTCTTGCACTCGGTCTATACCCAAGTAAGGTAAACGTACCAATTATCGGCATCCTAAGGACGTTGTCGAATCTTGATGTGACCGAATATACTATAGAAAACTCATAATGATTACAAATGCGATTTTTTCGATAGTTCTAGTCACATTAGATACTAGAGAATAATATAAAAAGAGTAAAATGTCTAAAAGATTTACCTGTAAGTATTTCTTTTAAAAAAAATACAAAATATCTCTGTGTAGGTATCATCGGCACCCAAAAAAATGCAACTGTTCTAGTGTTCGGTACCTGGAGTAACCTATTATCGGCAGCGCATTAGGAGATGTACTTTTTACATAAAATCAAATAAACCTGGTAGAAATTTATTAAGAAGATAAATATTTAAAAATAACACCAAAAAAAACATTTGTAAAAACCTGAGAATACTTTCTTTGGTATCGGCAAAATTACTTAGGTAGGTACTTATTTAATTTTAGTTACTTACTTAATTAAGGAATCTTAAAACTAAGTAATTCAAAAAACGAAACTAAAAGTAAACTCTTTGGAAAAAATTAAAACAATAATTTAAATTAGGAAGTGTCACAAACTGACAAAGGGAAATCTCCTTTATCGTCTCTTTGGTTAATCCAATACACTCTTCGTGGTAATATTTATAGCAACCGGAACACAGACGCATCGCAATTTGTCGATCTGAATCACATAAAGAACAGTACCATGTCTCGGTAGTTTCTGATGGTGGCGGGATGGCAGGGTTTTTCTTAGGAGTATTTTTTTTAATCCTTTTCGCTTCCTTTTTCTGATTACCTCTCTTACGTACAGAAACATCATTCTTGGCTTTTTTCTTTTTATTTTCATTCTCAACAGATTTCTTTTCACGTTCTAATTTTCTTTTCAGTTTTAGTTCTTCTTCTTGCCTTTTCTTTCCTTCCTTTTTTTTCAAAATATTGCTGCCACTGTAAAGATGTCGTCACAGCAGGGATTTTCTTTCTTTGCTTTCGTGTTTCTTTTTCGGTTTTAGACTCAGGCCAGAAGAGGGATTTTTTAAAAGGTGTGGGTATGCATGAACTATTTTTAATTGTGAAAAATTCATAGCGATTAACGGTGGTTTTGCGTCAGTTTGATTTTGTTCTGGGGTCATCATCGGGGGTATTATTAAGGATTTGACAGGCGTTGAATGTCTGCCAATTGATCCGTATGTTTGTTCTTGTACATCGTCGTCATTTTTTCCATGTTCTCGGAAGGCACATTTGGAATGTTCCGGTATGTTTGATCCCGTTCATTATCATCGTTTTCTTCTATGTTTCCGATAGACACATTTGAAATCTTCGAGGTCAAAAGTTCGTATATTTGATCCCTTTCCTTATCACCAGTGTCTTCTAAATTTTTAATAGGTGAATTTCGGGTGTTCGCGATTAAAGGTAGTGGCGATTCAAGTTGAAGATCATTGGTAAAATCGAAAATTATTGGGAGGCTCAAATTGTCAACATTTATCAGTCCAGTGATGTCAGATCGTCGATGTTTTCCTTTTGTCCATTCATCGTGTTAATAAGATCTGAACGATCAAGGTTTGAATCATTCTCAATCTCAATAACATTACTTTTCTCATTGAAATTATTTTTTCTATTATCGAATTCAGTTCGCGCTATTACTTTTTTCCATATCATAAAAAGGCTTGTATGTTCAATAGCTCCTTCCCATATCTCTCCAGATTGTTTAAACGATACTAAAATTTCTGATGGAATTTCTTCTTCTAATATCTCCAAAACTGAACCTTGACCTTTCTGCTTATCCTCTCTTTCCCGCTGTTGTTCACTAGTGTCTTGCGATCCGCCCGCCTTATCCTTGTCCTTAAAATATTTCGAAAACTTGATATTATCAGCACAAAAAGGAATTAAACCACATGTTTTAAAACCATTTCTAACCACATCTGGAAAATTACTCATTTTGTTTAAAGTTGTTTCTAAAATCATGGCAAACACGTCTTTTGTGATCTTTTTCCCATTGTTTTCCAACCTCCAGCGGTGTATACTTTTTTCCATTCCATCTTTAAAGCTGTCGGAATACAGCCACATCCAGAGGCTGCAGAATATGGGTGGCGTTAGGGCAGAGCGATATTAAAATTATATTTGCTTTGGAGCAAAATTGACTAAGCGTTAAAGATAAATGAGAGGTGTGGCCGTCTAAGAACAGGATTACAGGAAGAGGAATATTTTCAGCAATTATCCAAGGATAAAAAATATTGGCGATATATTCGTAGAAAGTCCCGGCCGTCATCCAACCACTGTCAGATTTTCCAATGGCCCAACGTTGAGGAAAATTATCTGTAATAGATTTGGGAATCCGTTTATAATTAAAAACAACCATTGGAGGAAGAATCTTTCCGGATGCACTGCAGGTAATTAACGTTGTAAGACATTCTTTATCATCATTATTAGAAAACGAGTAACTGTTTTCTCCCCTTTTCTCACTAACACTTTGTCACCCTTAGGGCACAAGAAGAATGCGGTTTCATCGCAATTGAAGACACGATTGGAGTTCAAAGTTATGTCGAAATTATTGGAATCTTTCAGATAGGTTTCCACTTCTTTAAACCAATAGCGAATTCTGTTTTCATTTAGGATGGCTCTTGAGCCAGATGATTTTGTGGAATTCTTGTGGTGAGCTCCGGATGTCTTTTTAAGAATAACTCATACCACTTGCGTCCCGGTCGACCATCTGTGAATTTATTCGTCCGACCTAATTCTTTCAGGAGGAGCTGAACGCTATCCAAAACTTGTTTTTTTGTCGCAGGAAACCCACGTTTTGATATATCGAATAGCCACTGAACAAGCAAAGACTCTTCTGGTTCCGTGAGGGTAGTTTCTGGACCGCATTTTTTTCCCAACAACGTTCTGCCCTTGACTTTATCTTGCAGAGTTGCTCTAGGAACGTTATACTTTTTGCTAGCGGTTTTAACAGGCATTCCTGCCTGAACGGCACCAATAGCTTTATTTAAAGCTTCAGAAGAATAATTCAATCGTTTTTTCTTATCCATGCTATTAGTAAGCTGAAATGAAGAAAACCAATTATCAGCACTAGTATGCCCGCATTATCGGCACCCTTATTGAAAGTATATGAAATTTATAATCTTACCGAATTTTGGTGCCGAAAATTGGTATAAAGGAAATTAGGTCTTTTATATAAATAAAAATCACACCGAATTGACAATTCCTTTGTAAGAAATAGAAAAATAGGCCTTATTCGGATAGCGTACATTTCACCAATTAACGGCACCTATGCCGAAAATTAGCGCAAGAGTCTTTTTGGTGTTCCTATTATCGGCACCGGTTAAATCAAAAATTATGAATAATGTGACACTTATTATTACTTTAACACATATATTGAACCCACAAAATATATAGGACAACTTTTAAAGTCAATATCAGCATTTTAAGTATCAAAAATATGATGTTTCACTTTACCTGTTTGTAAACACACACACGAAGCACAAGTTGCCGCCAAAGCAAGACAAAAACTGACAGGTCTAAACTAATTATTATTCACGTGTTGCAATGTCGGTTGATCGACAGGTTGAGTAGTGGGGGTAGAGTCAGGTTGTACCAGAATGCAAGAGATGTCGCATAATGTATAAATTGGACCAATTTCTTGTTTTTGAATAAAATTCGGGCTCTGTGCCGATAATTAGCGCACTGCCGATAATTGGTACGTTTACCTTATACTTACTTTGTTAATTTAAATTGCTCTAATTACTCTAAGAACTTTTTACAAGTTGTTAAATTCGACATTAAAGAAACACCTCATAGGTCAGAAAATCACATATCATCATCAAAAAATAGTATATTTCTTTTAATTCCACAACCCCTCCTTTGAGATGAAATTCATTGAATTTGTTTTAAAGGCATATTTTAAAAATGATAACGTACCTAAAAAGTATGATCGAAAAAAAATCCAGTTGGCTTGGAAATGATCATTTTTCATTTATTTTGTTCTTTACTCCTACGTGGAGCATATATATTATAGGGCTTCAATAAACGCTCTAACAGCGGGTTCGATTGTTGGCAATTGATTTGACATCTCGCCATGATCGGTTACTGCTTCGATCTCCTTTTTAACTGTCCTTTGCTATGTGTCTTGGACGACCAGTTCTTCTACTGCCTTGTGGATTCCACTCAATAGCTCTGCCAGCGATGTTGTTGCCGCTTGGCCTTAAAGTGTGACCAATTCACCTCTATTTCCTAAGTTTGATTTCGTTATACGCCTACCTCTGGTTGGTGAAGCTCCATAAATCCCAATTTTTTATAGTATTTGGCCAGAATATTCCTACAATTTTTCGCAGACAACGGTTTATGAAAACTTGCCCAAGTAGCAAAAATAAATTCTAAAAGGATTGAATTATTTTATAACAGTCGAGTAGTGTTGTCTTAAGGACTGCTTGATTTTATTAAGCGTTTGGTTTCGACCATTCTCTTTTTTAATAAAAGTTACACTAGTAGTCACAAGATCATATAATAGTTACTTAAACTTGTCTTATTAAAGTTGTATTACGTTGTATGATAGAATGTTTTATTGCGTTAAACTACGGTGCTGTATACAACACCAGTTATATAGCCATATATGATAATATTGTGATTAACAAAATAAATTCGCTGTAATATCTGCATTATAAAACTGGTAATGTATAATATAACCTCATTTTAAATTAATTGGTATACCTAGTTATTTATATACCGTATGATCGAAAAAAAATGGCGTCCAGTTGGCTGGGAAATGACGATCGATGACATTTCCCATATAAATTTACATATAAAATGACAGCGATCTTCATTTCATAGCCATCGTTGACGCCGTTTTTTCTCGATCATGCGGTAGTTGTTGTTGTTGTTGCAAAAGTAATATCTACGTACGAGTATAATCAATCACAGCTATTATGAATTATGGACAAAGTTGAAAAAAAAGTTAACAAACGCAGTGGTAGTTATAAAGAGCATGTAAGAAAAAACTCCTCAAAATTACGGCAAATAATCCCGAGAATTTCCTGCGTTCTTAAAAGCCAAAATCTCTCGGGTTGTCTGGCTTCTTCAGAGCATTGTTGCCACGTTGATGTAAAAGTTTTACTGTAGTAATGTTTGTATTGTTTTATTGTTGTTTTTCCAAGTCCTTAGGTTGCCGCTCACTTGTCGGGCACGCATAAAATGCATTGCGTGCATGAATCGATGAAAATCTGCTCATGTTTGTTAGAGTAAATACTAATCAAATGAGATTTGGCAACATCTATTTGTCACAAATCTCAATATGTCCAAAATAGTTCTATAGTGCCTGGAAATTCTGCGTAATGGTTGCATTAAATGCTTAAGGTAATTCGCCATGTTTAAGGCAGAATTTTTGTATGGCCTATGGCCGCCATTATATGAAGCAAAATTAAAAACATCAAAATAAATTGTAAAATGTTATTTTTGAGAACTATTACGTGTAAAACATAGCAGGAACGAAGGACAATATTAAATTTTGACCGGCAGTAGAGAAAATGGGTAAAATAAAACGTTTTCAAGCAAAAATGGGACAAATTGAAGATTTTTGGGAATAGTTTTGAATATCTTAGGATGGGGGGAAGAAAAGTTATTTACAAGAAGTATAATTTAAATAGGTTTTTATGATTTTCTCCTGATTTTTTTTTGGGGGGGGGGGGCATTGACCATTTGACCTCATGGTAAAGCCGCCACTGGACAGATGTCATCTGCATCATCTTCTAACATGATACGGCTGGCATCTAATATGCTAACAGCTAGACTTGGAAATGATGATCGATAAAATTCTCCATATTTATATTTTACATATAAATTAAAAATTTTATGCATTAGTCATTACTTCTTTGTTCAAATAATTTAGAACAAATAAGTAATTTTTTATCACTGACAAAGATAGATGTTTGCAAGTCTTGGTTTTGCGTAAAGTTGTGCACTGGTTGATCTTGGTCTTGGCCTTAAAGATCTAACGCTAGTTTTATGTATGTATATTTATTATTATTATCTGTTTCTATTTTCTTTTTTTAGAGATGACCGTTACCATAATTTCCAAACACGAACTGATACCTGATGGCGATTCTTCGGACAACGAAACCTGCTGTACAACGTACGAGAGTGTCAAGGTAAGTGACCCAGTCCGACTTTCTCCGACGAATGTTCAGCTCCGGTACTTTCGATGAAATCGAGAAAATTTCACTTCTTTCACGCCAACATCTTCGGTAAAAATTGAAGGATTGTTAAAACGAAACCTGCTTCAGATTAATGTAATTAATTATAGTACACTCGGAGTAATAAATATGCAATAACAAATCTAACAAATCTTGCATGAAAGTAACGTATACTTAATTATAATAAAAATACTTAATTATAAATAAATACATTTTAATTTTTAACGGGTTTTCAGAGATATTAATTTAGTGTGATACCTGGCAGACTTACCAAATGGAAGTAGCAAAAAACTTTAAATGTTAATTGTAATAGGAGTTGTAAGGTTTTACAACTGCAACTGCTGTGGCACTTCTATAATTTTTTTATTTTTTCAGATAAAAAAACGAGATTTGGTATGTTTGGTTTGGTTAGGTTGGGTTAGTATAAAACATAAATTAGTTCGACGTATTCAGTTGTTTTTTGCCACTTCCGGTTTCACCGGAAATGACAACAACTTTTGATTATTAAATAGCACCCTCGCCTCGGTATATTTCTGCTTTATTCGATAGAAAATGATACTCTGAATAGAATAACATATTATCTTATGCCAACTTTTGACATTGTCGGATATGGTTTATCTAAAATTGTAACATGCGGTTCATAACGACCATTTGACTCGAAATACCAAGTGTGTGGTACCAAATGCCAAATTATTCATAAGAAAATACTTTTCCAAATATACTAGTGACCCACCCTTGTTCCATTTGAAAAAATTGAGATATGATTAAAAATATGATTTGGGTATCTTTTAACCGGCCAGGACAAGACACGAAAAATACTGACGATTAAATCTATTTTTCCAAGGCTCCTTGATTAAAAAATAGTGTTTTCAACACATTCATGACCGTCTAGATTCTAGATTGAAATTTAAAATACATTTTTTTAAGCAAAAATGTCAAAAGTTGACATATGATATGTCAATCTATTCATAATGTAATTTTCTATAGAATAAAGTAAAAAATACCATTTATAGTTATTTATTTTTTATTTTTCAGTTGAGCTAATATTTTTTGTTATAGTGCCATTTAAAAATCAAAAGTTGTAATAATTTCCGGTGAAACAGGAAGTGACCGAAAACAATTGAATACGTCGATCAATCCTAATTTATGTCATATACTAACATACCAAATCTCGTTTTTATTTTTTATATCTGCAAAAATAAAAAAGTTATAAGGGTGAGCCACTTTTAACCCGGTATAGACGATACTTTCTTTATGAGTAGTTTACATTATTTTTTATCTTTCTCCTTCAGAACGTTGGTATACTTTTATTTTACTACAGGATGTGGCAGTCTGTCAATATACTAAAAGTACTCAATAAAATAATGTTAATGAGTATGAATATTCTACATTGACTATCTTTCAATAAGATCAATTGCATATAATATAAGTTAAATGGAGAAAGTATTGCATCTTGTTGGCGCATAATATTTAACAATTAATTAAAAGATTATAGTCAGTTCGTGACTCCTACATATTATAGCAATTTATTGCTTCTAGCATCAGTAGCATAATGTAGTATCATAATCGCTACTAAGATTCGAATAAGAACTATTTGAAGTATTCAATTCTAGCGTACATTCGAATGCATTCGATTCTCAACGGAGTCTAAAAAGTAAACACAATGGAAATATATGGTGAGAAATATATCTTAGGCTAGACGGTCCATTTGTTGAGGAAAACTGTATGTGTGTGGAAAAAATAAAATAAAATAGGTCTTTTAATCTTTTATTTTTATTTTTAATTTATTAATATAAATACTCTTAGAAATTATTCTTGAAAAGTGATTTGATATACAATGTTAAACCAATAAATTTCATAATCGGCTGATTAATTTTGGTCGAAGTACGTTCATTATACAAATTAAAATTCAGAATCTATTGTTAACCTCGAATGTAATGTCAATGGCATGTTTTGAACGTGAACAGATTTTTAATTAGTACTATTAGAAATATTATGAAATTAGCTTAGGGTAAGTAGGACATGATTGGTCTTTTTGGAAAAAATACCCATTTGTTGTCTATCTTAGGTTTAGAATTAATGGCGGTACATACATTTCCTACTGGCTTTTATTTCTACAAGAATTTGTTGATTGCTATGGTTGATTGTCGATGGCAGATTGTCACAACAATCAATTTATTTAAAACATTAACTATTCATTTAATACATATTTAGATAAATCGCTGCTTTACCTTTTTAGAGAATACCTACCATATTAGTTTTTTTTACAGATCTTGTTGAATAGAAAAGATAAATTAATGACAATTTCTTGAATCGTCAAATATACAGGGTGAGCCCAGTATTTCGGTATTTTTTTTTTAGTTTTTAGTTAATAACCATAATTTCATTATAACATGGCAACATAATATGTATGTAGTAGATTCAATTTACAAGAAAGAAAACCCAGAAAATATCCATCTGTTCTCAAAATTTACGCAAAAAATTACCTTTTTTTTGTACTTATTTGAAAAATTGAAAAGAGAATTATAATTTTATTGAAGAAAATATGTTTCTTTTATCGAGATCTACCAGCCCTGAAAATATTTGCACTCATTTAAGACTCACCCTGTACATGGGCGCCGGACAGGGGGGGCAAGAGGGGGCATTTGCCCCCCCCCCTGGATCACTGAAACAATAAAACTAAAAATCTTCTTACATCCATCTGTAAAAAAATAATCATTATTATGAAATTTTTAGGTGTTACCTGTAAAATAATAAAACATGTGGTAATTATTGGAAAAACTGGAAATGGTCCGATTTTCACCAAAATTGGTATACACACTATTTTGAGGTCGTAGATTACGAATCTACTTTTTTCTTGGCGGTCTCTTACCGTTTTTCAGAAAAACGGCAAATTATTTCAACATTGAATTTTTCTTTATTTCGGCCCTATAAAGTAATAATTTCACTATATTTTCATTATATTATAGTTTATCTAAAAGCCACACTTGATTGGGGATAGAAAAGTGTCCAACATTTTACTGAAAAACACTTTTCTTAACAAAATAGCAAAGAAAATTGAGACCAGATGGAAGTTTGACATTTGATATATCCTTCTTTCTCTCTCCTATGTAATAAGAGAGACAAATATATTCTAGACCTAATCTAGAAATTTGAAAATTTACAACGTTGCCATATCTTCTATTTTTTCGGGTGATTAGGGATTTTAAATAAATTACCTATTATGAGATCGACAATAATTAAATATACACCTATATCCACAAAATTACGCGGAAGAGTTTTGATTGCATTGGTTTTAACTTCTTTGCGGAGGGGGTTAATCTTTTTTTAGTTAATCTAATAATATAACAACAAAAGATTAACACCCTCTGCATGGAAGTTGTAACCAATGCAATCAAAACTCTTTCGTGCAACTTCGTGGGTATAAATAGTCAGATCTCGTTGGTAAAATAGCAGTTATGGGAAGGAGCCGTTCTTCTGGCGACCGCCTTTCGTAATTCCAGAATGAGCGAAAAAAACACGCTAAATTTAGGTTTAGCATTGGCAACGTTGCTTTAAATGCCAGAAACACATAAACTTACTTCGGGTTTCTCTTATTACCGATTCTGAACCGTCCTAGAACTGTGATGCGTATGCGCAGAAGGAAATATGAAGACATTATTTCATTTGCGCATGCGCTGCAGAGTTCTTGGACGGTTCAGAATCGGTAATAACAAGAACCCGAACAAAGCTATAATCTAACATTTTCAGATTGTTTACAAATTTATTTTAGCAAATTTTCCTCTATTATGCATAGAATTAGTTAAAAAGTAACAGAAAATAGCAAAACATTATTGATTATTGAATACCTAACAAAATATGTGCTAGAAAACCTTAAAAATATGAGAAATTAAGAAAAATTCGATATTGAAATTATTTTTCGTTTTTCTGAAAAACGGTAAGAGACCGCCAAGAAAAAAGTTCAGATTCGTAATCTACGACTTCAAAATAGGGTGTATACCAATTTTGGTCAAAATCGGACGATTTCCAGTTTTCCCAATAATTACCAAAAATGTCAATTTTTTATTCATTTTTACCTTGCCCCCCCCCTAAATTTCATTCTTCCGGCGCCCATGACCCTGTATATAGATATTAACCTTGTTTATATATTCTACATATACAAGGATATTAGATAACCAAATAATTAGGTAATATCAGAAAATTTGTGAGTAACAAAGGAAAAGTATTTTTCTATGGACATTATGTCTGGCTGTTAAGCCCCATCCTCACTATGCGCTGATGCGTCGGTTTGGTTCGTTTTTGCGGCTATGCATGATTGCGTCTAGTGCATGTGTATGATGCCGTTTGTCGATGCAATGCGTTAATACGATTCGTTAGTTCGTTTGGAAATCCGTCCATTCTGTTCGTGATATTTCTTTCGCCCAAAAACCGACATTTCGCACGAATACCGACGACGCATTGGCGCATCAAATCATCGCATTGACGAACAGCATGAGCACATAATGTATTGAGGCTTTAGCACTTGAATATAAAAATTCAATAAACTAAGGTAGTGAGCAATGAGGGAATGGGGGGCTGGCGTAAATTCCGGTTCATCAGTGCTGTTTTAATTCTATTTAAACTGTTTAAAAATATAATGTAGAGTAGATATCAATAATTTGTTGGGTCTGTTTTACACATTTTTTACGTAAAAAAACCGTAAATGTATATTTTTTCACTCAGTAGTTTTATACAGGTACGGACGAAAAGTTATTATCTACTCTTCAAAACACTTAAACACATCTAGGTGGCGCCCCCTACAAATAGGAGTCATATTGACATTAAAATCAAATTTCTCAGGTCAAAAAACTCCCAGACACCAATTTTCATTCAAAGATTGACGTTACTTCAGAAATTATTTGGAAAAAATCGAAAAAAAAATGAAATTTCTACACCGTCTAAGTATCTCCGAAACTAAGCATTTTAGGACATACATTTATATGAACTTTTTTATTTATTTTTATCTGCAGAATATGCTGCCAAAGTTTCAGGAATACAGTTCGGACCACCCTGTATTTATAATAATAGTAGATAAGTTATAATAATTATTTCATATCAAAAATATCAGCTACGCTTTTCAAACACAAGTCAAATTGGCAAAGCCTAATTATTTTTGATAAATGGTATATAAATAACATCGAAAATACAAAAAAATACATTAGTTAATTCTAACAACTAACTATATTAGGTAGTTTTTTTTTTCTGGAATAACATCATCACTGTTAGCCTAAGTTCTGATACAACACTGCATTTTAGGAGCAGCCTCATCCACACGATCACACGGAATCTTTGCTCGAAGATTTAGAAGTGTGTGAAACTATTGAAAAATACGAGAAAAATGGGCAATACGAGGAAGTTTACTATCAGAAGGCCAGAGTTTTATTAAATTTCGAGGATGCGCCAGTATATATGCAACATAACGAGTATATAAGACGAGGTTACAGAGGAATGCTTGATACTTCGATGTGTATGGAGAGGTGAGTACCTACTATATCTTAAATAATAATGATAACATTTCTACCCTAATAAAAATGGTAAGAGATTCCGGATGGCTTTAATTGGGGAAAAGTTGCGTGTTATTGAGCTCAATGATAATCCGTTTAATAATTGAACTTATCTCTGCCACTTTCGGAAATATTCCGAAAAAGTTTGAGATACCGGTTTTCGTTTTTATTTTATTACGTATTTATTTGGACAGGCAGAAAAAAAAAATATATATATATATAGAGACATTCTCAAAGAAGCTTTCTTAGTTTTCTTAGTCGATTATTATGGTTCCAGAAAAACTAATCGTGCTAAGTGATTTTTCACGTCACCAAAGGATGAAGCTAAGAAAGCTTCTTTAAAGATGCCTTTACAGATTTTTTCAAACTGACTCAGTAAAAGACAACTTTGCCCCAATTTAAGCCACCCCGTATCTGTTATCATTTCTTAGATCCCATTGGTGAGAGTTGGATTTGAGACACCCTGTATTTTAAAGAATTGATGGAGATTATGAGGTCGATAAAACGAAAAAACTCTTCAACAATCTTACAATCAAATTAATGCTTATGAACTTCCCCTATATGATAAACATACAACCTGATTAGTCTACCATTGAGAACGTAGGATAACGTTAAGGATATCTTATCAAATGCATTTTGTCAGCAACAATTCTCTAAAAGATTGGAGATGGCTGAATGGTTTTGCTGATTATGGCAGTAAATAAAATTCATTTCAATCCATAATATTACCAATCCACCTACAAGTTCATCAAATTTTCCTATCATCATACCAAGGACTGTATGTATATATTCTAAAGGACTGTTCGATCGCGTCAAATCGCCGCTGCCGTAGTCGCCGTGGAATGCTACGTCACGCGCTGACCAGCGCTCCACAGTGCGGCGGATGGTTATTCTAGCGGGACAAAATCTCAAGAGCAATGTTTGGAACTTAAAATCTAAGAACGTAGCAAATGGTCTAATATATAGCAACTATATGGTTAAATTTATTTATTTATTAACAACTTAATTTATTAATAAATAAATACAAGATAATAAAACTATGATATTATTCGTACATGACACACAAAAACTGTATTGTAAACTATTGCCAAATACATAAAATTATGATATCAAAAAACCCTTTAGCAGTTTTTTTTAATTAATTTGTAATCTTGTAACACCCTCTATAATTTATTTAAAAAATATATTTTATTTTGAAAATAATAAATAAGATAGATATTTTAATTTTAATTTTAACACTCGGTAATTGTAAATTCATATATAGTAAGTATCTAAGACAATTTTTTAAACTCAGTGCCTTGGTTGATGGAGTTGTTTTGTTTTTATACTATCTGATAAATAATAAATATAATAAATCTTTTTGGGCATTCACCTGTTAAGCTTGAACTCCCTGTGACTGTGACTATAGTCTGTCCAACGAGAAGATCCTTGACAGTGATAGATGTGTCTGTCATTTTAATTTCAAAGTAGTTTATTTTATTTTACAAAGAAATAAGTTGGTACAACTGGAACGCATAGCAGGAAATATTTAAAATTTGATTGACAAGATGACAAGTGATTACTTCAAAATATTGTGAAAAAAAACTATATAAAACTGAAAAAATGTAATCGAGTTATTTTATTTAATAAAAACGGTATGTGTTAATACAAAACAAACAAGAACAAGACACTACATACCAAAAAAATATAAAAAAGAACTATTATTTACTTTCAAGCTTTATGAAACTACCCGCATTTATGATTATATTTATCAATATAACTTATGTACAAATACAAATTTGTAATATTCCACAGGAATATACCAGTACCTACCTTTTGACATTATTTTTCTGCAGTACTAAAATCCATTATTTACCTATCGTGCGATGTCGATATTTTACAGCTACTCCAGTTTTAGTATGTGTTTAGTTTGATCCTTCTACCATATTATACGAGATGCACTTATCTACGACGAAATGGTATACAAACTTTATCGATGGCAACTTCATTGGTGTATAAGACTTTCTGCCTGGCGAGTATTAACCATAAACTGTGCTCTGGGTCTACAGTTAATTTTCACTCGATTTTCCCTCCACTTGACTTCAAAAGACACAAACACGCGTAATAATACAAATCAAAATGCATCATCTTCCAAAACGCAGGGTATTTAACAAAAGTTGACACAAAATTATAACCTATAATTTGGCAAGACTTTGACAAACGTCAAAAATGACAAAAATCTAAAGGCGAGTTCATACGCATCGGCGTCCGTTTGTCGTTCATCTTTCCGTCAAACCAATAAAATTGAAATACGATCTGTCATTTTTTAAATAAACCAATAAAACTGGTTAAAAACAACAAGACACGACGCATGACGGATTTATATTTAAACCCATCCATAGATAACTTAAAAATTATTAGAAACTTTTTTTAGTAAAATAAATAGATTGGTATGGGACGTCATCTGCTTTTCTTCTGTCATCGTCTGTCGAAATCTTACCTGAGAAAAAAAACAGAGTATACCTGTGTTGGTAACTATTGGTAACTCAAAAGATCTACATCATTCAATATATCGATATTTGAAAAAAAAGTGAAAGTTTGATATCTGCAGAATAACGGCACGAAGGATTTTAACAAATAATATACGTACAGTAGAAAACTACATACCTTTGGCAATCTTCAACATAATTTGGCTTTCTAATAAAATGTATAAGCACTTGTAAATATTTTGTTTTCGTATGATCTCTGCCTTGCTGAGCAGAAAACGACCAAATTTGGTTGATAAAAATGTATCAAATTACAAAGAATATTCATGCATTTTGTATCAATTGGAATGTCTACTATTTATTCTTATCAGTACACATTTTTTGGCTGATTTCTAACCAAACGCTTTTGTCCCGCTAAATTTATCTTCCAACGCACTGTGCGCTCGTCCGTCATATGCAAAAATAACTGTCACTGTCTAAAATCTTTAGCGCCAACTTCAACTCGGTCAGTAGATGACGTAAAAAAACTGACAGTGCAGGAAGATAGGAATCGAACTATCCTTATCTCTATAGTATCCTTGTCACCATACATCACTAACTCCTCTATACAGGGTGAGTCTTAAAAAAGTTCAAATATTTTTAGGGGTGGTATATTTTGACCCCAGAAACACGATTATGAGGGCTTTTTTGATAAAAAAATTTGAAAATTTGATTCATAATTTCTTGATAATAATGGCAACATAGGTAATAGATTAAATTTAACTCGATTATCTTATCTGAAAGACAAGACGAAAGAGAAGATATGTAACTTTTATCGAGATCTACCAGTCTTGAAAATATTTGCACTTATTTAAGACTCATCCTGTATAAATATACCTATCCGTTTCTCATGAAAAACTTTTTTGTTCTTGCAGTATTTTTTGGTGGACAAACGAAACGATCAACATATGGTCCCATATTTTTGGTTTAGTCCTTTTCATATCTTTAACAATTTTTGATCTAATAATACTGAAGATTGATGCTCCGCTCAGCGACAAGATTCTTGTAGGAACTATTTTAATATGCTTTCAGGTAAGTATTCAGGCGATAAATGTATTTTTTCCACTTACCAAGATCCAGACATTTGCACAAAGCTTTTAGTAGTTAGTTTAACGTGTGGTTAATATTGCAGAAGTTTCTGATATTTTACTAACTGCGCTTTTTTGCGCCGAAATCTTGATCACTGTGATTTGGCGTAAGCCAAACTTGATATCTTTAAGGCAGTTTCACTGATAGGCCAAATCTTGGCTTGCGCAGAACGGGCATTTTCAGTTTTCGGTAATTTTCAGTTTATTCTACCGGTATATTGCAGAAATGATTGCGTAGACTTACTACTAAAATATAAGAAAAAAATTACTTTGAATGTAGTAAAAAAGTAAAGATTTTAGTTAACGTCTCCCTTTTTTGCTGCCAGGGCTAATCTGGACGGGGCCTACTTTGTTTACGCGGAATCCAAACCGCGGTCCTCGGCCATATCATGGTCGATGGCCTACTGCCTTGGCAAGTGTCAACTCTTACTCACGAGATACCCGATCTCATCCAGCCTCGAACCGGCGTGAGTGAGCAGTGTGTGTCAATATATTTTACACTTTTGCATTTATTGGACAACACCACGATACAGAGTTTCGAACCGGTCACCCGTCATCCACTAGTATCGCCTTACGTTGCTTAACTTTGGTGTTCTAATGGGAACCGGTGCTTCGACGTAGCTGGGCCTTTGTCCTTTCTGTCTACTTTGAATGTGGTAGACAATGATTCAGTATTAAAACTAAAAGAGTTTGGGACCATTATTTTTATTTATTTTACTTACACAACGTTTCTATCAGAAGTATCACTGACCGTTATCAAATGTGAACTAAACTAAATCCTAAAACTACTGAGCTTATATACTATACTATAGAGCCGAGCATTCATCCGTGAATTTGTTGGGTGCAGTCAAGCATGAGGCTTTCTACTAAGAACATCTACATTGGAGCGTTTTATAAGTGGTTGCCATATTGGTGAAATTTCCATACTTGATTGCTAAATATTTTATTATTGTTAGAAACGAATACGGCCTCTTTAAATTTGCGCGTTTTTCAATGGGGTTCTTTGTGGACAACCCGGGCTTTCGACCATTTTATGTTGTGTTGGTTGGACCACACATGATCTGCAATGCTCGACTTCATTGTTTCACCTCTTTGTGTATGTTTTTTATGTTCGTCAAGTCGTACATCTAGAGGACGTTTTGTCTCTCCAATATACGACTCACCGCATTCGCAAGGCAGGATGCACTCTTTCTCTTGCTTTGATGATTCAGGTTTTGTTTTTGTTAGGACACTTCTTAGAGTAGTCCCAGACTTAAACACAGTTTTAATTTTACATTGCTTAGCTATTCGCCTGTTCTTCTCCGATGTTCTTTTCGCATATGAAATCGTCAGGAGAGAGAGAGAGCATCCCCCCAGGCTGGCGTACCAATAAGTCGGACCTGCAATTGGATATAATATTGTCTAGGTATTTTGCAGAGTCACCATTCTGAAGCAAATCCGTTTTAATATTATTTAGTTCAGAATTCAGAGATTCTTGGTCACTGCATATAGTGATTGCTCTATGACATAGTGTTTTAATTATACCTCTTTTGGTTGCTTCAGAATGGTTCGACTAAGAATTTAAATATTGTCCCGTATGTGTTGGTTTTCTATATACAGCAGTGATGGATCCATCGCTTCTACTTACAAGAATATTCAGAAACGGCAGACAGAAGTTTTTCTCTTTCTCAATCGTGAATCTGATTGAGTTATTTCGGGAATTAAGATGATTAAGAAAGGAATCAAACTGTCTATCGGTTCCGTTTCAGATTATAAAGGTATCATCAACATATCGAAGTCAATGATACTTCTGACTGAAACGTTGTGTAAGCAAAATAAATAAAAACAATGGAATTCCGAAACTCTTTTAGTTTTAATAAGAAAAAATTACCAATTAAAGTACGCAGCGCCCATCTTAAAATGCTCCAGCTGTACCCAGTGAAACTGGCGCCAGCTACTGGATACGTGTAGATCATCAGCCTTTATTGACAGTCATGTAAAATTTACAAAAAAAAACAGAACGAGTTTGGCTTATAACAAACTGTAATAAAAATCATTCGTATGAAAATAGTTTACAAGAGAGCTGAAAGTTTTGTAATAAACAATATAAAACTTATGTATGTTTGTTGTAAACAAAATTGTCTGTCTTTATGAGTTAATGTTGTGCTTAACACTTTTCAAAAAATCTAAAATTATCAAACTTTATTTGTAGCATTATACATGTCGTTTCTGGCCAAACTTGCATTAGAAGCTTCCAGAAATCTATAATATCTGGAATTAAGATATCATTGTGAAATACTGATGTGCAAGAAAGCTACGAACTAGATATAGTAGTTCTCTCGAGACTTCTAATATAAGTTCAGCTCGGGACCCAATGTAGGTATATGTAAATGTATATTGAAAAAATAAGAGTTCTTATATTTTAGTTATGTATGGGGTTATCAGCATTATATCACACATTCTGCTGCAGATCAGAAGAGGATTGTAATTACTATCTGTCCTACGATTTATTTGGAATTGCTCTCTCGTTATATGGGATATACGTTTCGGGAATATATTACGGCTTTTGGTGTGACCAAGTAAGTCAAGTCCTATATAGAACAACTTTATCTAATATAATCATAAATATTAACAAAAGTACCTAATAAAATACTCTTCTAGACATAGACATAAATACACTCATCGGCATAAAAAACGGGCAAAATTTTCATGTATTTTAAAGTTTAATAATTTTGTTTTAATATTTTGTTCTAGTGGGCCGATTTTGATGATTTTTTAAGCAATTTGCAGCTAAATTATTTGACTTTTTAGTATCTATTTCTAAATTAAAAATGAACGTTTCCATCTGTCAATTATACGAGGGAAAACAAAATGTTGATATTTTGGTAAAAGTTTGAGACACCCTGCGGAATATGTTAAGTAAGCAAGGCATTTAAAAATTACTTTATCATTTAGGTTAGTCTTTTCCCGATAGTTTGTTTTTTGATTAATCTCAATAGCTGTATTTTTATTGGATATATTCGCTTTTGAATAAGACAATGACAATTTACAGCAATTTTAGCATTTTGGGGTCCTCATGAACAAACTTATAAAATAGTGTTTATTGTTTTTGTAATGTCACTGTCATTGAAAAGTCTTATTATTATTGTTTATTGGTGTTTACTCTAGTAGAGATCATTTTAAGTTCTGAAGTATCGGCTATTGTTTCTTTAATTATTGGTCATGGTAGAGACCAACTTCTGGACTTAAAACCATCTCTGCTTGAGTAACTGCCCGCAACAGACAATATCAATATGATTTTTGAATGACAGTGACATTTTATAAATCATAAATTCTATTTTATAGGTCTGTCGACTAGGACCAAAACCAAAGCCACGGTTTTAATGTAAAAATTACGAAAAAATGTTAGTGTCTTCTTCAAAAGCGAATATCTCAAAAAAAAATGAAGCTATTGAGATGTATCAAAAAACAAAATCGGTCATCTAGATCACAATATATATAACTTTTAAATACATGAAAATTTTAAGGCGCCCGGTTTTTGTGCCGGTGAGTGTATAAGCCAAACCGTCCCATAGCTGCCAAAAGTCACTAACTTATTTTTTATTACTTCCGAGAAAAATGCGTCTAAAGATGAATAGCATTGCATAAAGATGTTATAGTTAGTAACTATTCGGTATTAAAATAAAACATAAATAGCCAGAAATCGTAGTTAATGACTTTTGCAATCGATTCTCCGCTTCAAAACATAGTTAGTGATTGAATTTGGTTGTCCGGAAAATGTTAGTTAGTGACTTTTGGCAGCAATAGGACGAAACAATAATAATTATTTTGATCTATTATTGATTTTAGTTGTTGAAGAACTTTTATTTAATTACTGTAACGGTCATATTCATAATAGCCATGATATTGCAAATTCCAAGATTAAACATTAACACTAACATCAAGATGATCACGTTTGTCTCGTGGGCAGCATATGGAGTTGTACCCACTTTCCACTGGGCTATCAAAATGGGTAGTTTTGAAAATCCTCTTGTTGCTGTAAGTATATTCATGATAATTAATTATGATCATATTTATAGGTTAAAGAAATCAGGTATAGTACCAATCTACATTGGAATAATAATAAATCCCCATTAGTTAGGGTTCAGAACCGGAACATCCCGGTCCCGAAAGTACCGGGAATTCCCTGTTCTTTTTAGCCATCAAAACAACCGGGACTCGTATTCAAATTCCCGGTACTTTCGAGACTCAGTAACAATAATTAAAAGAAAATTGTTACGTGCGAAAGTCTTTTGATACTTTTATTACTTCTAAATAATGTATTTAAATCATGCCTATACAAAATTTGCTCGCTAAAGGTTGCTCAAATATTCGCGTTTTTATTACATATGTCTCTTTCATATGACACGTGATACAGATGTTGAAATACTTTAAATATAAAAAATGTTCATTTTTTGATTCTCCATCTAACAAAGGAATAATATACAGGGTGTTCCTTTTAAAAAAATCATCCCGATCCACTTTCACCTTTTTGGACCACATTGTAGAAGTTAAAATGTTCTCCTGAAATGCATGGTAATTAATAATTTAATTATAAATTTTTGATGGACACCCTGTTAAAAGTGTATTCCCCAATTCATAAATATAGATACGTAAAAAATTAAGTTTTGGTTAAAAATATGATGAGCGTAATAATTAATAATTCTGCAGCCGGACTTTTTGCGCATATACCTACTGTAGACGTTACGAATGTGTGCGTATCGCTTATTTTTTAATTATTATGAAATTAGCGTATATCTAAATAAATAGCAAAAAAAAATTAAATATTTTATTAGAAAATCTAAATAGATCAGGCTTCAAGCTTGTAAGGAGCAAGTTTCTTACAAGGAAATATTCGCATACACTAGTAGTGGGAACTATCGAATGAATACTATCGAAACATTCGATAGCTGCAATTCATTCGAATAATTCGATCGTTAGTAAGAAAACATTCGTTGAAAACTATTCGAATAAAAATTACCGAATAGATCCGTCATCTGCCTTGAAATATTGTATTCTAGTAATTCGGCAGCAAAAACCATTCATTTATAAAATTCATTCATTTATGAAATTCATTTATTCGTCAGGATCCATTATAATAAAATATTAACTGAATTTTAGTTGTGGCCCGGCGACGTAGGTTTCTTTCCGAGAAACCCGACAGCTATGAAAGAAGCCGGCATCTTTGATTTTTTTGCGGAGTCAGATATAGATAAGGACCCATTATTTTTTTTATTGAGGTGCTAGTATTTACACAGAAAATACATTATGAAGGGCGCTGTTGCCATATTTTGGTATTAGTTGATATTAGCAAAGAATATTATTGTTTGGCTTTAGTTAGTTAGGGATAGTATGTCTATATTATATTCTGCTTTTTTTATTAATATTCTGTTGTTACACTGCAATAATACTTGTTATTTTGGATGTAGGAAAATGATTTTTAATGTTTTTAAGCAAAGACTGGTTTAATAAATAATAATAACAGTAATAATTTGTTATACCTATTAACAACAAAATTTAAAATCATTTAATATAAATATAAACAACAAATTAGATGTCAAAATTATTTATATTAGATCCTATTTAAAAATAATATAGTCTCTAAATTTTTTGTGTGTGGCAACGTTGGTTTTTAAATAATAGTAATTACAGAACTAATTTGTTATATTAACAACAAATTTTAAAATCATGAAATATAAACATTTATTAATTTTCTAAGCATGCAGTGTAATGGAAGAAAAATATAAATAAAAAATTAGAAATCAAAATTATTTATATTAGGTGCTTTATATTACTATTTAACAATTATATCTACTTTTACTGGCATTTACTTTAAAAAATAAATGAAATGTTTCTTCGCAAAAAACTACATGTAAGAGAATTACCATAAACAAAATACAAACATCCTTAACTTTTTTTTAAATTGGCACATGTAAAACTTTCATTTTAATTTTCTCACCCCATAGTTTGAGTTCGATAACCATTTACTTAACCACATTACTTAAATATGATTATTAAGTTCAACTAATTCATATTATTAAAACATCTAAAATACAAATATGTATTTTTAAAATTAATTGTAAGTTCATCTCTCTCTTAAAAATTGCTACTTCTAAAAATTTCCCAATAAAAAATAGACCATATACCATATAAAATTAAATAATTGAAAGATCGGGCTACGGAAAACCACACAAATTTTCGGAAAAATTTTGACCACCTGCACATGCACACAATCGTCAATAAATAAAATTAAAAAATAACTACTATTTTAGTATTTTAACTATTTTAATAAACGCAAAAATAGCACAGTATTTATACGGCGAAGTTATAAAAATTTGGAAGAACTAATAATGCACTGACGCATACAAAAATCAAACGAATACTAAATTTCATTTATCAAAAGCATTCGATAGGTAGTCGTGGCTCAACGATAACCATTTAGTCGCACGGCGAGGTTGTCACATATGCTTTTATACAAATGAATAAATGATTTTATTCGAATAAAACCATTCGATAGTTGAAATCATTCATTCATTAACCATTCGATAGTCTAATTCATTCGATAGTTCCCATCGCTAGTATACACAGAATAACAAACCTGTTTTAAATTTACCTTCACCATATTGTCATAAAATAATTTGTAATTTCCTGTTTTAAAATTATGTTTAAATAAATATTACATTGATTGGTGATGACCATAGCTTATGGCAATGATTTAGGTAGAAATAAATAAAATATAAACATTTATTTAATACATATAGTTTCTATCTTCGTTTTTTTTTTGTAAAATTATTGTACGTTTCTCATTATTTTACCTACCATTAAAGAAATTTTTAGATAGCTGAACCTATTTATAGTTTTACAATACAGAGGTGTTTATTTTTTATAAGTTAATATTTTATATTTTTTCTTCAACTCGTCCATTAAAAGTTTTTAAGAATCTATTTTAGATACCTACCCATTTTAATGCTTCAAATTAAGTTTATTTCCAGATATCTTTTTATAATATTTTTCAGTTTTTTTTCTTTTCTTTGAAATTTCTGCTTATTTTAAATAGAACACCCTCTGTATTTTTCCATCTTTGAGTTTTTTATGAAATTCTTTAAATGTTTTTTTGCTTGTCATTTATAAAATTTCTTACTCTACTTAAATATTTATAGTAATTTATAAATTATTATAAAACAAATATTACATTTACAAAGCCATGAAACCTAATTTTTATAAATTAATAATTAATTATTTTTTAAACGAAAATCACTAGGTTTTTTCTTAAATGCTTTCAAAAATTTTGGCAATTTTGTGAAGGTTGTTTATACCTACATAAATCGAAAAATTGTCCAATGTTTGTTAAATTGTGTAAGACAGCGCCCCCTAGCGTCTAAGTTCAAAAGATTATTATTACTGTTTATATGGTATAATATAGAATACCAAACGCTCTTTAAAACGAGCCTTTGTTTGTTGCATTCCGATTATTTAATCCGGAGTTATTAGTATTTAAATAAAATATCTAACCTTCCCCACCTCTTTATTTTAGCAGATAGGGAGAAATAGTTCTAATAAAAAAATCCAAAATTTACTCAAGATTATGAAGCAATTATTTATAGTATCCCTTATCTAGGCAAAACTTTGCAAAAACTCCATTGTTTTATTTTCCAAAAAAAAATTTTATTTAAAAATAATTTCAAGTAATTTTCCATGGCCTCATTAGTTTATCTTTCTTTTTTCCGCAGCCCCTACGGCTTACAACCGAGAGCTATTCTTTGTGGGACACCTTGTACATGAACATGTTTTAACCAATTTTTCGTAATTTAGTAAAAGTTTTTTTAGTATACCTAAATTATACTAAACACACTAAGTACAATATAAAGGATGGCGCCTCTCATACGCCGCGGAGGCTCCAAGGAGAACGACAGTTTGTATTGAAATGAAATTTTGTGAGCATATGTAGGTTAATTCAGAGCACTTTTTAAAAATATAGAGAGTTCTACAGGGTGCCCCCCAAAAAAATACATATCAAAGTATTCCATTAGAAAAAACACAAATTTGATGTGTAACTTTGTTTGGGGACACCCTGTATAGTTCTGTATATTTTTATAAAATGCTCTCAGTTAACCTACATAAGCTGCTAAAATTTCATATCGATATAAACTACCGTTCTCCTTGAAGCTTCCGCGGCGTATGAGAGGCGCCACCCTGTACACTGCCACAAACACTGCTGTCAATTTTTAAATGTTGGTATTATATGCTATATGCGTATCATAAATAGAGGAATTATGTAATGATGAAAAATTGAAAATAAATTATTCATTTTCACAATTTTTTACACAACAAATCAAACATTGAAAGTTGCTAATTGAAACTGACATATCAAATAATACTTTTTCTATACCTAAACACAAAATTGTCTATTAAACAAAAAACTCTTATACTTACTCTAACGATCACTCTTACGATCACTTTTATGAAACAATGCGTACCTGTCTAGATATTCGCTTATCTTATGTTATTTCATCGTATTCTATGAGCTCTATTGAAGCTCCGTTTATAAAAACTATCGAAACTGGTGCTCTGACTTTCTGCATGTATAGACTTGGCTCATTTCAACCGATTTTTATAATTCAAAAGACAAGGTATCCATAGATACACCTTTTTATTTTTGTAGAATTTTTCAAAATTGCACTTGCTAATACTTTTCAAATAATATTATAACAAATTTTTCGTGTATTCGTTATTTAAGCTCGTGTATTTGTATAACTCGGTTGTTTACGGGATTTTCGGATGATGGCAGCACCGACGCACGGAGAATTCACCAAGCCCATTCAATGGCAGGCATGATAGGTGAAGCGCGGGCGAGAGCGCGTGTATTCAAAATCTAGTGAAATCGACTGGCTGTTTAATGAATAGGCTGTGCTGATTTTTTATAGATTTTTTTTTAAGTTAACTTCTTTTTTTTTGTTATGTATTATTATGTGTTTTTTAGATGATGTTACCGAGAGTTTTCGGAATGTACGCAATTAGCGGTACTGCGTTTTTCATCTACATTGCCAAAATCCCGGAAAGATTTTTAGCTGGAAAATTCGATTATATCGGCCATTCTCACCAGTGGTGGCATTTCTTCGTAGTGGGAGCGTTATATTATTGGCACAATACAGGAATGATGTACGTAGAATACAGATTGAACCATGCCTGTGCGAATAGCTTGAGGATACCATAGAATATGTTACTTTAAGTTATTTGAATTATTTAAGTATTATTTTTATTGGTATATCTTAAGCTATATACATTTATGTTTGTTATTATTTTATTAAAATGTGATACTTTTTTACTTTATTTTTTACCAATTTTTATGTATGTTTTGCGTTTGTTAATATTTATATCTAATTTGACATTAATTTGTTCAATTATAAAAAAAATAATTTGTCTATTTTTTTCTCTTTACCTGAGTTAGATAAAGTGAATTTCAAAAAAATGTCTATACCTATGTGGCGGATTCATCTTTCCAAAAAAATTCTGTATGGGTATTTCGCCACTGCACTGCAAGAAAATCTAAATCTAATCTCTAAAATTAAACCTAAACGGACGCTGCTTGTCAGTAGTTATGTTTACAGTAATAAAAATTTGCCTAATAAAGCAAAAAAAATGCTTAACGTTTCGGAAAGTTATCTCTTTCCGTCGTCGGAAGCAAAAAATACCAAGAATAAAGAAAAAAAAACTATTTAAAATATTTAAATTAAACTATTCGAGAACACTTTACTTTTTTAAAACAGATACGTCTACAAGAAACCGTTGACGTTCTGTTAAAATGACATTTTTAACTTGATATTTCAACTTCAAAATTAACAATTACTACCTGATAACAATTACTTAATAAGGTAAAACCAAAAAGCCCCAAACTTTCTGATTGAATTAAAAAAGCTTCTTTTATTTTTCTTTTAGAAGCTATCGCTTCTTTCATTATAATTTTGGCGTTATTGAAATTTATTCTGTGCCCTTTATCCCAAGAATGCTGACATATCTTAGATTTGTGAAAATCTTCCTGTCTTAAATAATCTTTATGTTCCTTAATTCTAACATTTAAGGGTCTAGATGTTTCACCAATGTAAAATTTATCGCATTCACAGGGTATTTGGTATATTACATTTTTCTAAGTGTATTTTGTGTTTTGAAAGATGTTCGTATGTTATATTGTTTTCCTATCCTTCTTATTTTTTCCGAAACGCCTCGTATGTATGGAATTGTAAGTTTTTATTTATTTATTTATTTATTTACAAAAAGACTGGGATGCAACAGAAAAAATCCCCAAAAAGCATCCCCAAAAAGTTGTATATATTGTGTATTGTTATCATTGTGTCTATGATTTGGGGTTTGTATTTCGTTTAATGTTTTGTCAATAAAATATGGTGGATATATATACAGTGTGTCCACGGATTGACTCCCAAAGAGGGAAAACTTTTTTATTCGTGGGTTTATGAAAAAAAGTTATTCTTCATAAAAACTCCTGCTTGAGCTTAAACGACCAACAGGAATATTATTTTTTCAAATGTATATACCGAGTGTTAAAAAGTTTAAAAAATATGGTAAACGCTAAGAACAAAGTACTTGTATATGTAAAAATAGGATGAAAAGTTATTAATAAAAGTTCTAGGGATTGAAAAACTACACCACGTTACCAAATTTTAACTCACTACCTAAACGTACAGGGATTGGTAAAAGATTCCTCTCCATATAAAATACCATTTACTCTAAATTAACATTTCTTTTTGAATAACTTTTAAATCCTTGTTTACCTTTACGCAATTTCATTACTTCCCTTTTTAAATTAACCAATGGAGGCTATAAAATAAAACTCGTACACGATTAATTATTAAACTTTTTTTTTAGAAAACGAATGAAAAATAAAAAATATTGTTGCAAACAAATAATAGATAATAAAGGCAGGTTGTAGCAGGTGTCATTCCAAAAAAAAATAATTTAGAGTAAATGGTATTTTATATGGAGAGGAATCTTTTACCAATCCCTGTACATTTAGGTAGTGAGAATTTCCTCGTATTTTTACATATATAAGTACTTATTTGTTCTAAGCGTTTTCCATATTTTTTAAAATTTTTAACACTCGGTATATACATTTGTAAAAATAATAAGCCTGTTGGTCGTTTAAGCTCAAGCAGGAGTTTTTATGAAGAATAGCTTTTTTTCATAAACCCACGAATAACAAAGTTTTTCCTCTTTGGATGTCAATCCGTGGATACACTATATGTCACAGTATAAGTGTAAAAAAAGGTGTTATAAAAAATTTATATGATAGGGCAAAAATAATATGTACAGACGACATTTCACTAAATAGAGATATAAACCACATAAAAAATACATTAATCAAAAACGACTATCCACCATATTTTATTGACAAAACATTAAACGAAATACAAACCCCAAGTCATAGACACAATGATTACAATACACAATATATACAACTTACAATTCCATACATACGAGGCGTTTCGGAAAAAATAAGAAGGATAGGAGAACAATATAACATACGAACATCTATCAAAACACAAAATACACTTAGATCTATTTTATCACATATTAAACCATTGAATACAGAACAACAAACAAAAAATGTAATATACCAAATACCCTGTAAATGCGATAAATTTTACATTGGTGAAACATCTAGACCCTTATTAAATGCTAGAATTAAAGAACATAAAGATTATTTAAGACAGGAAGATTTTCACAAATCTAAGATATGTCAGCATTCTTGGGATAAAGGGCACAGAATAAATTTCAATAACGCCAAAATTATAATGAAAGAAACGATAGCCTCTAAAAGAAAAATAAAAGAGGCTTTTTTAATTCAATCTAATAAAAATAAATGTATTGCTCATGCATCTGTAGATGTTAGTAATGTATGGCAATCGCTTCTTTGATTTTAAAGAACAATAGATACAACAAGATAAATAAACATAACATACGTAAAATTTAAAAATAATCAAACACAAAGTTTGGGGCTTTTTGGTTTTACCTTATTAAGTAATTGTTAATTTTGAAGTTTAAATATCAAGTTAAAAATGTCATTTTAACAGAACGTCAACGGTTTCTTGTAGACGTATCTGTTTTAAAAAAGTAAAGTGTTCTCGAATAGTTGAATTTAAATATTTTAAATAGTTTTTTTTTCTTTATTCTTTGTATTTTTTTGCTTCCGAAGACGGAAAGAGATAACTTTCCGAAACGTTAAGCATTTTTTTTTGCTTTGTTAGACAAATTTATATTACTGTAAACATAATTTCTGACAAGCAGCGTCCGTTTAGGTTTAACGCAGAAGTGTTTACAAAAAATAATTATTTTATTTTGTAGATTTTCTTGCAGTGCAGTGGCGAAATACCCATACAGAATTTTTTTGGAAAGTGAATTTCATTAGAATCTGACATTGGAGCTGATAGAGCCACATAAAGATATTATATAGGTGTTGCCAATTTTCGATTATAGTTGCCGGGGATACTTTCAGGAAGGTATCTAATAAAATTATGATTATTATTAAAATATTTTTTCTGTGTATCTGATAAGATTTGTGCATGCTTATAGTTTGCAGAAAAGAGTAAAAGAAGACACTAAATTATATCTCGACAAACTGATTAACAAACTTGGATAGAACAATAGACGACTTAAATCTTTATCAAACAGTAGTTTAATAAAAAATATAATTTTTGGGGTATTTTCTGTTCCAACACTTGGCCGACACTACCCGTATAAGTGGCCTTATACCCGCACAGGTTTAGATATTTTATGTTACAGATATGGATAGTTTATCACTAAAGTCGGGCTCAGACGACTCGTTTAATTGGCAAGTACACTAATATTTCCGTATTTGGCAAGTATACCAACTTTCTATCTAACCAACGCTAGCTTGGCGCTCATACGACGCCGACGTATCAATTTTAACAAGTACGCCAGCCCCCACAATGGACATCTACCTCCTACGTATACACCCTTCTACGGTTGGAGTTTAACCATCAGTGCCCTTCACAGTCGAGGAGCTTGTCTCCATCTAAAGTACCCTTTAGCCTGGAGGATCTGTCTCCTTTTTCTCCACTTCTTTAACTTGGTCTTTTTTAGGGTACGAACATAGTGGAGGCAGGTTTCTGCTTTCCGGCAACCAGCGCCGTCTCTGGGGACCTATTCTTGACCACATATCGCTCACATCTCGCATCTCCGAAAAAGCCATATAACAATACACGTGATGCGTAACTTTGCGTATATGCCGTGTATTGTTATATGGCTTTTTCGGAGATGCGAGCAGGGTTCGGAAGTAGTTAATTAAGAGGAAATTTACCTTATTAACTAACCTAACCTAACCTAACCATATCCAAACGCCGCTCCCGCCGCGCCGGCCCCGCACATAGGGGTATTTGGTCTATAAACCTGGCCAAAAGTGAAATATTTTTATTTCCATTTTTTATCTTAACTGAATACAAATCTATAAATACTAAATGTAAGCGCGTTTATTAGCTTTTTTTTAAGTCGTAAGTTGACTATCAAATAAATAATATATTTCAATTATAAGTATGAATTATCTTGAGTGTATTCTGAAAATTTCTAAGATTATAAAATAGTGGAATTGTTTGTAGTGCTTTTTTACAAATTGTTTATAATAACTGTCATGATGGATACAGAGCCAGCTGGCAAGTCTTGTTTTATGCCATATTTTTATTTTGAAACGTTTCCTTCTCTTCTATTTCTTTATAATGTTTTATATTTAAAAAATCAGAGGCATTTTTATAAGGTGTAAGACTATTCGGCAATATTCCGCATAGAAATTAGTATCCGTTCAATGCTTAAAGTCTCCAGCTTTGGAATATGTACAAAAATCTTGCGAATATTTGCCACTGCCAAAAAAACATTGATTTAAATAGATTCTTAAAGGAAATAGTCTTTACCCTATAACACCCATCCTCGCTCAAATATCGTCTATAATATACAAATTACTTTCTTGTTCTAGCATCCTCATCCAATTGCTTGGTTTTGCACAGAATGGCCTTATTTGATCGTGGCCTTATTTGATCGGAGGGTTTCAGAGTAGAGGAAAAAATATTGTGTAGGAAAAACAAAATGAGGTTCCATATTAGCACCCTGTCCTCTAATAATTAATATTACTAGCAAAAAAGCAAAAAAATCATAAAACATAATTTTGGCCAACTTTTAGTTCTTAACACCCTCTGTGCGCCGTCGGCGCCTGCCAAAGCAGAAATAAATACATTTTCGTTCCGGTAAAAGCGAGAACGCCGACGAACGCTGGTTGACGGCTCCTACCTGCTTTTACTGTGAACTAACCGATTTGATAACACGCTTTAATTTCTCAAGGTTATAAGCGCAAGGCGGCGCGGCGCGGCGCTACTATGTAACCATATACAGGGTGTCCCAG